GAGCTGTGCTCCGTCAAAAGTTGTCGAAAAGACTCCATATGAGTTATGGACGAAGAAATCACCAAGGTTGTGTTTTCTTAAGATTTGGGGTTGCGAAGCATATGTGAAGAGATTAATTTCTGACAAACTTCACCCAAAATCTGACAAGTGTTTCTTTATGGGCTACGCAAAAGAAACCAGGGGGTATTACTTCTACAACAAATCCGAGAACAAAGTGTTTATTGCTCGTGATGGTGTCTTTTTGGAGAAGGAACATCTTTCCAAAATGACGAGTGGGAGGAAAATCGAACTCGACGAAGTTCCAGAGGACGAGCAACAAAGTCAACCTGACAAAACTTATAATCAAAGTGCTTTAGAAGCAACTAATGACATTAGTTAGAGTCAAAATGACAATGCAAATGCTCAACCTATTACCCTGCATAGGTCGCAACGGCCAAGATCTGAACCACACAAATACCTTGGTATTGTCTTAACTGAAGATCAAGACATCCTAGTTATGGATGGAGATGAGCCAGCGACATACAAAAAAGCTATGACGAGCCTCGACTCTGCAAAATGGCAAGAGGCCATGAAATCCGAGATGGACTCCATGTCTGAAAATCAAGTCCGGGACTTGATTGAGTTGCCCGAAGATTACAAACCTATTAGTTGCAAATGGATTTTCTAGTTGAAAATGGACAAAAATGGAAATGTATCTATATACAAAGCTAGACTGGTGGAAAAAGGTTACAGGCAAATTCACGGCGTTGATTATGATGAAACCTTTTCGCTAGTCGCAATGCTTAAGTCCGTCCGGATTATCATAGCAATTGCTGCATATTACGATTATGAAATATGGAAAATGGATGTCAAAATCGCCTTCCTTAATGGGACTTTGGAAGAAACTATGTATATGACACAGCCGGAAGGTTTTGTCGATCCAAGCAATGTTGGGAAGGTATACAAGCTTAAGAAGTCCATTTATGGACTAAAGTAGGCAAGCAGAAGTTGGAATCTGCGATTCGATGAAGCCATTAGTAAGTTTGGTTTTATCAAGAATCCAGATGAGTCTTGTGTTTACAAGAAAGTCAGTGGGAGTGACATCGCATTCCTCGTCTTATATGTAGATGACATATTACTCATTGGAAATAACACTAAACTGTTAGAGTCCGTAAAGGGCAGGCTTGGTAAGTGATTTTCAATGAAGGACTTGGGAGAGGCACAATACATATTAGACATCAAGATCTATAGGGATAGATCTAAAAGGATGATTGGATTGAGCCAAAGTACTTATATTGATAAGGTAATGGCACAATTCAACACAGAAGGGGCCAAGAGAGAGCACCTACCCATGTCACATGGCATAACTCTCAGCAAGAAACAGTGTCCACAAAAACCTGATGAGCGAGAGAGGATGAGTCAGATTCCATATGCTTTACTTATTGGATCGATCATGTATGGTATGATATGTACTAGGTCGGATGTATAGTATGCCTTGAGTGCTACGAGCCGATACCAATCAAACCGAGGAGAGGCGCATTAAACTGCGGCCAAGAATATCCTAAAGTACCTGAAAAGGAACAAGGATAAGTTCCTGGTCTATGGTGGTAGTAATGATTTGGTTATTGAAGGTTATACTAACATGAGCCTCCAAACTTATAAAGACGACTCTAAGTCGCAGTCAGGGTACATATTCTGCCTGAATGGAGGAGTGTTTAGTTGGAAGAGTGCTACGCAAAGCACCACTGCAGATTTTACAACTGAAGCCGAATACTTGGCAGATTTGGAAGAACCTAAGGAGGCAGTTTGGATTCGTTAGTTCATTAGTGAACTTGGTGTTGTACCCTCCATCAAGGATCCGATAGATCACTATTGTGATAACAATGGAGCTATTTCTCAGGCCAGGGAGCCAAGGGAACACACCAGAAGGTCAAACATGTCATGTGGCGATTTCACATGTTCAAGGAATAGAAGTCCGAGGGTGAAATCAGAATTTGTAAGATTGGAATGGACGACAATGTAGCCGATCCATTGACTAAACCTTTTCCTCAAGTGAAGCACAACAAGCACGTTGAGGCAATGGGAATCAAGCATGTTAAAGATTGGCTTTGATTTCTCTATATATGTGTTTTAATTAAACTTGATGTCTTAATGTAAAACACTATGTTGAACCATTCGGTTATGGAGCAATTAAATTTTCCGCAAATTTATTATTACTTCATTTCTATTTAATTTTGGTTTAGAATTAAATAATGAGTCCATTCGATTTATGAGCATATTCAAAACAAAGTATCAAGACCATGTCTTGGATAAAGGAACACCTGTTTAGTGAACATTGAATATTTTAATCGAAAATTATCCCTAATCAAGGTCATATAAATGATGGACGATTAATGACCACTTGAGATTAGTGTGTATTATGATTTATAGCACCGTTTCTTGTGCTACGAGGACATGATTGTCATAAATCATATTTACAAGTACTAGTTTGGAACTATAACGGATCGATCTATGAGAGTACTTTAAGAGATTTAAAAACCGTCATAAGTACATTTCTCATTATAACTATTGGAACCTTTTTCCTCGACCATGAGTATTGTAAGTTCTCTTGTTTGAGTACTAGTCGTTTTGATGTTTTCAAACGTCTGCCGTACATGGAGATTATAAAGGCAACACTCGGGCGACTAGGTCCTCTTAGTAAGGGAAGCTAACAATACAAGACAAGGAATTTCCCCCCACTAACAATTGGGAATATGTCTTTGTTGTTTACAAGGCCTCTCGAAGAGCGCGACTGTGAAAATGCATGGCCGTGCTCAGATGGATTTTAGAAATCATTTGCTTATTGACAGTCAAACTCGAGAATCAAGAAACACTTCTAGACGTAATAAGGATGACGAAGAATCTTACCTTATAGTTCACGAAGAGACATTAAGAGACATAGGAAATGGGTTATACACTAACTGCACACTTGTTCGGAAGGACAAGTGGGAGATTGAAAGGAATGGTGTCCTTCCAACAAGTATATTATTCCGATAGAGGGTTCGAAATTATTAGAAAGCTAATTTTTCAGTGAGGTCAAGTGATCGGAAAGCATAGGTGGAGGCCGCTTCCGATCAGTAATATTAATGCATAATAAATATTACAGCTTAATCTTAAATGTACCCTTCGGGTTGCACCCCTATCGAATAACCGATCCAAGACGACGAATCAATCCGAAGGATTAGATGAGTCTTTGGAGTATTACGAACAAAGACGTCAGATATCGAGCTTAGAGCGTCCAGACCAAGCGTCGCAAGACGTAGATTCAACAAGCGACAAGTTCGAGCCAATCTGTAGCCTCGTATTGGCCTAGTCATGTGAGTGCTAGGCTAGGCGAGGTCACCAACCCATGCGTGTCATGCGTGCCTAGCATCGCCTTGCACACGCACATCGCATGGCATAAGCATCACAAGATGCGTGCCATGCGTGTGTGTGTTGTGGCTGTGCATGCATGGTAGGGTGTGCTTGCTAGCATAGTAGCACCAGCCATCGCAGCATGCTGGGCATGGCTCAACACAGCCTGCAAGCATCGCAAGGCCAGCAGCACGCAAGTGCTTGTTGGGCCTTGCTATTGCAAGAAAGCAGCGAATAGCACTTGCACAGCAGCACGCTATGCGTGCTTGTGCTATGGGCTATGCGTGCTACGCATCGCATAGCAGCACCAGCACACGTACATAGCAGCGCCTAGGAGCATCAGCCCGCATGCGTGGCTTGCTAGCTGTACGCATGCGTGGGCGTGCTGGCTGGCAGCCCAGTCTTGGTGCTAGGCGCTAGCTGGCAAGCTGCCAGCTAGCCATGTGGCATGGTCAGGTTGGTGTGTGGATAGGGGAACAAGGTGATTTGGTCCCTCCCTTTGGTGGTCCTCACCTACTCTCTCCCTCCATGTGACACTTGGAGCTTGTGGATTGCCTTGCATTTTATTTTGTTTTTTATTAAAATAAAATAGAGGAAAAAGCAAATCTCCCACATTGATGGGAGAAGGGAGATCAAGGCTCCCTTCCCTATAAATGCCCAAGTTTTGGGTTTGGGAAAAATCACTTGAGTGAAACTCAATAAGGCACCTCATTATTAGTGAGAAAACCTTTAAGTTCGTAATACTCTAGTTTTATTTGGTCAAGTCCCGACTAATTAACCTTCAGTATTAAGGCCGTTTGAGTCGGGTCGAGGGTGCGAGCCGAAGGAGGCCATCGCACTTGCGTGGCTCGAGCTTTGAAGTAAGAGCTCGTGAATTGAGCGAAGCACGTTTCAAGGGTAAGGATGTCTTTTCTCTTTCTCTCTCTTATATTGTTAATTATGTGTTTGCATGTTTAGTTGTTTTAATAAGTGAGCGGGTCTTGGGCGGGATTCTCTTCCGCATAGCGTTGGACGCTACGAAACCCAACATTTTCAACAACACATAGTTGATATGTATGTAAAGGTTGAGAACACACGCCTTGACTTTTTCCGCAACAATCAAGACAGTATAAGAGCTGATTTATACCAAGGTATTCTGGATTATGTAGACAATGGAGAAACCCTTGCCTGTAATGTTGGTAGAAAAGTCATTTTGCCACCGACATTTATTGGTGGGCCTCGTGATATGAAAAAACTGTATTTAAACGCAATGGCTTTGGTGCAGCGATATGGGAAACCAGATCTGTTTATAACAATCACTTGAAATGCAAATTGGCTTGAAATAAAAAAACGAATTGGCTCCTGGAGAAACCGCTCAAGATCGCCCTGATTTAGTGGTTCGGATCTTTCACGCTAAGCTATTGGCTCTTAAGAGAGAAATAATGACAATATGATTTTCAGTGAGGTTGCTGCACATATCTATGTAATCGAGTTCCAGAAGTGAGGCTTGCCGCATGCACATTTTCTTATTATTCTTAAAGGTGAATCAATAGTGAAATGTCCAACCGACTATGACAAGTTCGTTTGTGCGGAAATTACTCCACTAGACAATCCATTGCTGTGTAAGATAGTGATTCGGCATATAATGCATGGGCCTTGTGGTCCGTTCATGTATGCGTAAAGATGGCAACAAATCATCGCGTAAGTATGGCTACCCAAAGCAATATTCGCTAGAAATAACGACTAATGATGAAGGGTTTCCTACATATAGTAGGCGAAACACTAGTGAAAAGCTAAAGGTCAAAGGTGCTCAACTTGACAATAGATTGGTCATTCCGTATAATCCCTACCTCTCTATTTTGTTTGACTGTCATGTTAATGTAGATGTCTGTTCTACAATTAAAGTAGTTAAGTATTTGTACAAATATGTCTACAAGGACCATGACAAAATTTCGTATAATGTTGTGCCTGCTAAAGGTGATTCAGTTGATGAGATTTAACAATATCAGTCAGGGAGATAGGTTTCTCCATGTGAGGCTGCTTGGCGACTATTTGCATTTGATTTTTTTGAGATGTATCCTCTTGTACTTCTTCAAGTGCATCTACCTAACCAACAAACGCTTCAGTTGCATTCACATGAGCGATTAAATGCTGTTGTGGCAAATTCAAAGCGGCATCAAACTCAGCTAACTGAATTTTTTGCTAAGAATGCTGCTGTTCTAGATAAAACTGGTTACCTGTACAGTGAATTCTGTGAACACTACACTTGGGATGCATCTGCTAAAGAGTGAAATCAACGTGTTAGAATAAATACCAAATTAGACGTTTGGCGTTTGTGTTCCCAGCTGAAGGAGAGCAATTTTACTTGCGGTTAATACTTCTGAATGTTAGGAGTCCTGTATCATTTGTAGCGCTCAGAACTGTCAATGGCATCTTGTGCAAGTGTTTTCAAGAAGCAGCTGTTAAGCTTGGTTTATTAGAGGAAAATGATTTGCCAACTCCATGTATGGCAGAGGCGTGTGAGGTACAAATGCCTGATGCATTACAGCGGCATTTTGCACCTCCTTGTTTTTGCTTAGCCAAGTGATCCTTGTACTTTGTGGTCTAAATTTTACTCCTCCCTGTCTGAGGATTTCAGCCATGAATTTCCAACTGACTTGGTTAAGGTTCAGATGTTGACTGCGAGGTCAGTTGATCACCATTTAGAAGCACTTGGTAAATCGCTTTCTGAATATGGATTAGACAACATGAATGAGGAACCTGATTCTGAATTTAAGCGAACCAAGGACATTATAGATGCTTTAGATGCTCCTATTTCTAAAGAATGTTTACATTGTCGTAGACAGTTAAATTCAGCACAAAAAGCTGGATTTGATGATATTATGCAGCATGTCCATAAAAACAAGCCAGGTGCTTTTTCATAGATGGGCCTGGTGGTACTAGAAAAATGTTTTTATATAATGCTCTATATGCTGAAATCTGACTTATGATGAAGATTGTTCTGCCTACAGCTACATCTGGAATAGCAGCAGCAAACATTCCCTCCGGTCGTACAACACATTCTAGATTCAAAATTTCAATTGATTCTGAAGCATCATTGGCATGTTCTGTGCCAAAACAAGGTAGTTTGGCTGCATTACTTAGAGAAACAACTATAATTATTTGGGATGAAGCTTCGATGTCAAAAAAGAAAACATTGAATCCTTAGACTTGTTACTGCAGGATTTGTGCGAGAATAAGTCTTTGTTTGGTGGCAAACTCATGGTGTTTGGTGGCGATTTTAAACAGGTTCTGCCAATAGTACCACAAAAGACACAGCGAGAGGCGGTTGAAATAAGCATTGTTAGTTCATATATATGGCCCAAACTTAAAAAGTTTAAGCTAACTGAAAACATCAGGGCCAGAGAAGATCCTGATTATTGCTCCTTTTTGTTGTCTTTGGGGAATGGAAAGTTGCAGCAGACAGAATCAAGTTATGTTCGGTTGCCTTCAGAAATTGTACGGTCCATACCTGTTGATGGAGATCTGGTGAAAGAGCTTATAACTAGCACATTTCCTGAAATTGGCACATATAGTTTTACCGCAGAGATTTTTACTAAGCGTGCTATTCTGACTCCAACAAATGATGATGTCGATTCTATTAATACATTTTTTATCGACTCTTTTCCTGGCAATCCTTTTGTGTACAAGAATTTTGACACAATTTTGGATGACATGTGCACTGTGTATCCTACAGAATTTCTGATAAGCTGTGCCCTGGCGAAATGAGCCCTCATGAGCTTGTTCTTAAGAAAAATATTGTCCAGTCATTTTGCTGAGGAACATCCTTCCGTCTTCAGGTTTATGCAATGGTACAAGGCTCAATTGCAAAAATTTCTTTCCAAATGTCATTAAGTGTGAAATAACCGTTGCCCATTATAAATGGCAGTCCCATTTTATACATAGGGTTAATCTGAGGCCTTCAAATTCAGCAGGGTATCCTTTCCAATTTGAACGGAAACAATTCCCTCTAAAACTCAGTTTTGTTATGACAACCAACAAATCGCAAGGCCAAACACTTAGTCGAGTAAGGTACATCTTCCGCGACCTTGCCTTTCTCATTGACAACTTTATGTGGCTTTGTCTCGTGCAAAGAAGGCAGGCAAAACAGCTGTTCACACAGTGACTCCTCCAGCACCATACTCAATTAATCATACTAAAAATGTTGTTTCATATGATGTGCTGTGTTTAGCTGGCATAATTTTAGGCCGCTAATTTTTAGGCATACTCAATTAATCACACAGGGACATTAAATTTAAGGTTAATTAAGACTGCTCTTTTTGTACAAGCTCCTTTTTATATCTGTTTTTGGGCTTATTTATGCCCTTCTCTCAATATAGTGTTACAATTACTACTGGTTTAAAGTGTTTAGAAGACTTGCCTGATGTCATAAACAACCAGTATTATCACCTCTCCTTTTTAAAAAAATTGTTGCATTTAAAGTAATTGTTGTGTGATTGCTTCTGATGGTATCTTTATTTAGTCGTAGACTTAATAAGCAAAACAAGTATTAGAAGCATTTTCTATCTTTACCTATCTTCTATGCAAATCTTGAGTAATGCAATAAGGGATAACTTATAATGGCGCAAAATAAATTATACCTTGTAGTAATGAGCATGGGAAGGCATAAATTCATATTTTGGGAAGGATTAAGTGTTATGCTTATTTTGAGTGGCAAAATCTTGAACGCAAATGTTCTAGTATTAAAATAATATCTTCCAAAAAAAAAAAAATGAATATGTATGACTTATTCTGAAATAAATTACACTTCAAACCATAAAGGGAAAAAACGTTTTATTAGTTATGTCTCTTTTCGATGTGCAAATAGAGGCCAAAATGAAATTACATTTATATCTTTTTAAATGATGGAAACAATTACAAGAAAAAAAAAGTTTGTCAAGTATTATTTCCTTTTTTTTCGTTTTCAGTGTGAGTATAGTACAAATAGTACATAAATAATCTAGATGAGTAATTCCTATTAACTTCCAACACTGTGCATAATAATTAATTTCACAAGCAATAAACTAAGTAGACTCCCTATTGCTTGCAACACCATAGTCTAAGCTACTCAGTCGCTTGGTTTCAACAGTGACCATATCTCTCCAAAAATTAAAAAATAGAGAAATTGGAGAATGTACTATAGCTTTCTGTATTTGTCACCAACTGTTGTACTAAAAAACAATCAATTCTTCACTATATAAATACCAAAGCTTCCAACAGTAAAATGATGCTTCTTTGCAAAAGGTAACTGCTTTCCTAAGAGGTACGAATTACTATAATTCCTTAGTTCTTTCATTATAGTCTTGTTTATGCGTTTCTTTTCTACATTTGTTTGTTCGATTTCGTTCTGTTAGAAGTGTTTTAAATTTACTATTTCTGCTTTTGCTGTGTCTGCCAACATTGGATTATTGATTAATTCATGGTATGATATAAGTACCTAAGACATATTGACATTCATAGTAAAAGCGTTTTTGTGTTTTTGCGTTCTGTCATGATCATAGGCTTATGTATTTTGTTGTTCAATGGAATTTTCTTAGTTTGTGCATACATTCATTAATTCTAATTTAGCAGACCATTGTTTTTTTTTTGCGCATTTTATAGTTTATATGTCTTTATAATTTTTTAAAGTGTGCATGTTACATTAACCGCTGCATTCATTGTTCATATTTGTTTGTGTATATGTTGAATATTGTCAACTTACAACATTCTTTTATAAAGTAAAAACAGTTGTTTAGTTGCTAATGTCGGTTACTTTGTGATATTAACGTTGGAATAGCTTACAAACATGGAACCTGCAAGTATGTGCCTGGATGAATTAACTCCAGAAACAAAGTTTTACAAGGTCAATGTGATAGTTGCTCAGAAAGAAAGGCCTCAAGTGGATCCAAATAAGAGAATCGTATTTCAAAATTTCATTCTTGAGGATGCTAAGGTCAGCAATACTTGTGTATTATATTTGAAAAATTTTAGAACATTGCATGAAAACAAAAGGCGTAATCGATATATTAATAATTTAGACTATATAACAGGCTGGTTATTACACTTTATCATTTTAGGTCATTGCTCAAATGTGAACAATTGAATAATGATTTTAAAATAATGTTCTGTTGTTATAGAATAGATAAGCTTGATTTTCCTTCTTTTAAATTTACATTTTAAAAACATACAGTGTAATTAAGCTCTTATTTCTTTGGAGTACATGTACCTTTTGGCTAATAACAATTTCACTCATTTTATTTTGATGTAGTTTAAATTAATATAGGAGATTTGTTTAAAACTCAGTAAAAGTTACTGCTTGACAGCAGCTGTTACATATCACACAACATGATAAGCCAAAAGTGTGAGAATAATCTAATTGGTCTAATCATGTGTATGACTTTGATTGTAATAAAATCTGATTAGTTCGCTATGCTTAATGTTGTTTCAATGAATACTACAAGAAGGGAGGGTAGATTTGTCAAACAATTTTCGGAAATAAAAACTAGTAAGCTTAAAGAACTGAAAGTGCAAGAGAGATTTTAGGTGGAAAACTCCTTGGCCCTAAACAAGGAGAAAAACCACAACCACAAGGAATTTTAGTAAAAGAATATTCTTTAGAATAGGGCAAATACCTATTATAAACTAAAGACTCTAACTTCAAGTTCCTCAACAAACTCAAAGCCCCAAGCAGCAAGTTCCTCAACCTGCTACTCTTCTCTTCTCTTTTTCTTCTCTTTCTCTTCTCTTCTCTTACTCTCTTCTCTTCCCCCTAGCTTCATTCAAAGCTAAACAAAAGTTCACTCAAACTTCCCAATTCCCCAAAATACAACTCGAAAAACAAACTCTAGTATAAGAACAAAAGAACACTCCATTTCACTAATGTAGAATTGGACTCTTGACTTGATTAAAGAAAGCAAAATGATGAAATCTATTTGAGAAAGGGTAAGTTTTTCCAACTGAAATCAACTGACTATTTATAGACCAAAATTGCTTTGGAAAAACCTCTTTGTGTTGCTTTTCCATGTCGCCACTACTCAATCCCCACTAAGTAGAACATGCCCTAAAATTAAAGATACAAACTCCTTAATGTGCAAGACCGATATTGAAACAGTCATGAGTAGTCCGCAAGTTTTGGAAAATGAAAATCAAATTTTATTTATTTAAATGATTTCGAAAAATAGAGAAATTAAAATCCTTATAAAAAATTAAAAAGATAAGATTTAGAAGCAAATTGTTTTCCTAAGAATAAGCATTTCACAATTATATCCTTTAGACAAATTCCACATAGCTATTTTAAAGCGTAATCTGACTCTTGTACTTACATAAATCCTAAAACATAAAATATTATAGTCTTCATGTTTCTCTGATGAAGCTTCTACTCTAAGGCTTCTGCTTCTGTTCCCTGAAAGGAACATCCCTTCTCTGCTGAAACTTCTACTCCGAGGCTTCTGTTCCCTAAAAGGAACTTCTCTTCTCTGGTGAAACTTCTACTCCGAAGCTTCTGTTCCCTGAGGGAACTTCTCCTCTCAAGCCTTCATTTCTGAAGCACAAGTTCTTTTGAGGGGAACTCTTCTTTTGAATTACCTTTCTCCTGGCTTTCTTATTCCTCATGGAATCTTTCACAACACGTTCAATTCTCATAGTCATTGTATCTGATCACATACTTAAACAATCAAGCGCATATTAGTTTGTAAATAAGTTAGGTTGTGTCATCATCAAAATCATAAGGTCAACAATATTCCCCCTTTTTGATGATGACAAACATACCAAACTTATTTACAAGGAAACAAAGATAATCCAAACCTAAACTAGAATTAAATCGCAAAAGCATAATGCAGAAGGGAAACTAATACTAATAAAGAAAAACTGAACACAAAACAAAAAAATTTGTACTTACATATACCTGCTGGTAGAGAAATAGGAAGACTGTGAAGACTTCAAACAGAGACCATAGAATGATTAAGTTTCCTTCAGTTTGCACCTTTTTCCCCTTTTGGCATTATAAAAAACCGACACACAAGCAATAGTATACCATAACACAACACCAATCTAAGTGGTTTGGTGTTAAGACAAGAAACATGCATAGAGAACAAATATTCACAAAGCATATAGGCAGATTAAACATAGATACTAATAATCCAAAACCGATTTAAAAACATCGGCCAAATGTACCAATTTCACAAGTCTAGCAAAAGATAAAAGTACCCAATAATTACAGATCAAAAGAAATTGTTTTCAAAAGAAAAAATAAACATAGCATCATCAAAATAAAGGGATAGCAGGATAGGATAAAAACTAAGAAGCAGTGCTCTAGTCATCATCAACAACAAGATCCTCCAACTTCTTGCTGACTTGAGACATAATGTCTTTGACAATAGTAAGCCTCGCCTTCTCAGTTCTTGAGACCAACTTCTTCATGTCATCACCATCCAGAGTGAGCACACTCTTCTTCAATTCCTCCATCTTCTCTTAGGACTTCTCCTGTTCCTTGAGCACCTTATGGAGGAGTTCCTTCATCTCCTCCATACTCTCCTCGCTAGGAACCTTTGGTGTAGAACTGAAAGCTGTGAATCCTGTACCTGCAAATGTATACTTGACAGAAGTAGGAGTACTAGGAATCTTCTGCAGTTCCTCCTGGACACCAGAAAGATGAATGCATAACTTAGTAGGAGTCTCCTTCTTTTTCATCAACCTCAAGCTTTTTCTTTTCTTTCTTCCCCTTGTTTCAGTCACCTCCTCTACACTCTTTT